GGCATCGTCTGCTTGAGATTTCTCATGCAATATATAGACCTGGGTGTTGCCCAGTTTCATTATATCTTCCAATACTCACCACCTCTATCAAATCTTACAACTTTCACTTTTTTGTCTAATTGTCATAGCTGCTTCACCTTCAAAATCTCCAGCACCACCCTCAAGTGCTCTCCATGCTCTTCCCGGGTCCTTGAATAAATCAAGATGTCATCAATAAACATCACAACAAACTTATCTAAGAACGGCCGGAAGATTCTGTTCATGTAATCCATGAACACAGCCGGGGCGTTGGTCACACCAAACAGCATCACAACATACTCGTAGTGACCATACCTAGTCCTGAAACCAGTCTTCGATATGTCACCCTCCTTCATCCTGATCTGGTGATAACTTGACCTCAAGTCGATCTTTGGGAAAACGGATGCTCCCCTCAGTTGATCCATTAAGTCATCTATTCGGGGAAGCGGATATTTGTTCTTAATGGTCAACTTGCTCCACTGCCGGTAATCAACACACAGTCGACTACCTCCATCTTTCTTCTCCACCAACAACACGGGAGCACCCCACAACGATACACTCGGTCACACCAACTGCTCCTCTAACAGGTCGTCCAACTGACCTTTCAGCTCAACCAGCTCAGCAGGAGCCATCCTATAGGGAGCCACCGACACTGGCCCAGCACCTGGAACCAAGTCAATGCTAAACTCCATCTCCCTAACAGGAGGTAACCCAAGCACCTCATCAGGGAACACCTCAGCAAAATCCCTCACCATATCAATCTCAGCAATGACCCTCTCGGTCTCCACACTCATAGCAGCAAGCAGAAGATAACACTCTGCTCCATCCCTCAACAACGATTCAGCTTGACCAGCTGAATCAACAGCTCCTCTTCTAGCAGTAAGCATATGGTGAGTACCTCTCCACCAATGCTCAGCCTCCCTAACCAACATGTAGACAGCATATGTCAGCCTCCTCTCTTGAGAACATCCCAACACATTGAAGATCTTCTCCAGCTCACAGATCCAGTGGTCAGCTACCTCTGGGTCTGGATCTCCCTTAAACTGTGGAGGACGGCATTTCTGAAACTCAGCTAGATCCCGGCTCTCCTGCGACCCCACGGGCCTTGCTGCACCAGCTGCAGCTCTATCAGCGTCCATCTTAACAAAATAAACATTTTGCTACTGCATAGCCATAGCCATCATCTCCATGGCACGGGCTATCCGCTCATTGGTTCTAGTCATTGTTGTTCTTATCCTTATTCTTAGCTAATTCCTTGGAGGGTTCTAAAATATTTTTCTTTTCAAAAGATTTTTCCTCCTCCATGTAGTCTTTCTTAAGAGATCTAGAGTGGGAGCTTTCTCTTTTAAAAGAAGATTTTCTCAACATTTGTTGTTCTACCCTTATACAAAGTTGGACTAAATCATTTAAGTCCCTGTAGGGTAGTAGCTCCACTTGGTCTCTAATCTCTAAAATAAATCATATATATATATATAACCATGATTAACAATTAAGAGTCAGAAATTTTAAAAGTTAAAAATAATTTATTTATATTTTATAAAATAATGATTAAGAAATTATTGTATAAATATTAACAAAATTATTTGATGTACTATTTTAGTAAATAAAAATAAAATAAATTTATGAGTTTTTTTTATAACAGGGAATGTGAATTTTGGAGGAAGAAATAAAAAAAAAGGAGAAGAAGAGAAGAAAAAAAAGTTTTGGAGAGAGAAAGAAAACTTTTGGAAGGACTGATGAAAAAATTAAAAAAAATATTTTTTCAGTTCCCAGCAAACCAAGAAGTTTCACCAGCTCAACATCCTGCAACTGTTTCTGTTCAACCTGCCTCAAGAACTCACTAGTTATAGTAATCATTCCACAACTAATGTGATCCTGAGCTAACTCCACACAGAGGTTCATATCTCTGAACTCCTCTACCAGCTCCAGCTCTCTCACCATCATACCAGACATGTGGATGAATTTCCTACTCAGCCCGTCCGCCACAACATTGGCATTACCAGGATGATACATCAACTGGAAGTCATAATCATTTAGAAACTCCATCCACCGCCTCTGCCTCATGTTCAGCTCCTTCTGATCAAACAAGTACTTCAGACTTTTGTGATCACTGAAGACATTGAACCGAGCACCATACAAATAATGCCTCTATACCTTCAAGGCAAACACCACAGCTGCTAACTGCAAGTCATGAGTGGGATAATTTCTCTCATGATTCTTCAGTTGCCTTGAAGCATATGTCACTACTTTCCTATTTTGCATCAGCACACACCTTAGACCTTGGTGAGAAGCCTCGCAATACACATCAAAGGGCTCACCAGAATCTGGCAACACCAGCACAGGAGAAGTAGTCAACCTCCTCTTCAGCTCATCAAAACTCCGCTCACAAGCATCTGTCCAAATGAACGGTTGCTCCTTCCTCGTCAACTGGGTTAAAGGCGCCACTATCTCGGAGAATCTCTCAATGAACCTCTTATAGTAACCCGTCAAACCCACAAAACTCCTAATATCAGTGACAGTTCTTAGACGCTCCCACTGTAACACCGACTCCACCTTAGCCGGATCAACAGCAATCCCCTCAGCTGAGATCACATGTCCCAAGAACTTCACCTCATCCAACTAGAACTCTCATTTCGAAAGCTTAGTGTATAGCTGCTTCACCTTCAAAATCTCCAGCACCACCCTCAAGTGCTCTCCATGCTCTTCCCGGGTCCTTGAATAAATCAAGATGTCATCAATAAACATCACAACAAACTTATCTAAGAACGGCCGGAAGATTCTGTTCATGTAATCCATGAACACAGCCGGGGCGTTGGTCACACCAAACAGCATCACAACATACTCGTAGTGACCATACCTAGTCCTGAAACCAGTCTTCGATATGTCACCCTCCTTCATCCTGATCTGGTGATAACTTGACCTCAAGATTACATATTTTCCACATGAGACATAATTATCTTACAATATAATTAAAAAAATATCCAAAAAAGAAACATACAAAAGTAAAGTCGAGGTAAGCAAAATTTTAAGGCACTAAAGGAAATCAAAGTATTAATAAGTTTATTAAACCGTGTATCACAATTTATATATATTAACGATTTGGAAAGTCATTAACATTTCAATTATATAGATGAATTAGCCGTTAAAATTACATGTTAAATTAATGAAATGGTATGTTCAATAAGTTTTTATAAAATGTAAATTTAATTGATTTAATTATTGTATTTAATGATATTATATAATTAATGAAATGATACATTCAATAACTTCTTATAAAATGTAAATTTAATTGATTTAATTATTGTATTTAATGATATTATATAATTAATGAAATGATACATTCAATAACTTCTTATAAAATGTAAATTTAATTGATTTAATTATTGTATTTAATATTATTACATAATTAATGAAATAATATATTCAATAATCTTTTATAAAATATAAGTTTAATTGATTTAATTATTATATTTAATGATATTATATAATTAATGAAATGATACATTCAATAACTTCTTATAAAATGTAAATTTAATTGATTTAATTATTGTATCTAATAATATTACATAATTAATAAAATGATATATTCAATAATCTTTTATAAAATACAAATTTAATTGATTTTAATTATTGTATTTAATAATATTAGTTATAATTATGTTTATCAAATTTCACATAATTAATTTTTTTATATATGTTATTTAACAATAAATATTTACATATATTTTAAATATCACTTTATATAAACTATCAAATAATTTTGAAATTATATAAAATTTTGTATACATATTTTTAAACTAAATCACTTAATTATGTTACTAGAGAAAGGGTCAACTTACCAAGTTGGAGGACTTTGCTACTGGAGAAAATAGGCACAATATGTGTTTTTCTATTTCTTTTATAAAATAAAAGAGAGAAGAAAAATAAGAAACGGATGTACATAATTAAAGGGTAAAACTTCATTTATGAAAAAAAAAATCAATTATCATATGCGATTAAACACTAAATTTTAAACTCTAAATCAATTAAAGAATAATAATATCTAAAAAAATCATAAAGACAAAAATAATTATTGCAATTATAGATTATCATTGTGACACTTATTGCCTCCATAAATTATTTTTATAAATAATAAATAATAAAAAATTATATATAATACGAGTAGGGAAGGGATACCAAGAAACACCATAAGACAGAGAAAATGAAGAGACAAAATCTTAAATAGACATTAAATATTTATTAATAATTTATTTATTTCGGTCTTTATAACAAAGATTTAATAAAATAAATAAATGTTACAAATTTTTTTAAAATAATTTTACAAAAGACTATAATTGAATATTACACTATAAAAGCTACAAATATATTTAAACTATTTTCGAATTATATAAATATTATATTATGAACTTGTTTGAATACACATTTATAATTACTTTTGAAATTTTTTTATTAAAAAATTATTTTTTTAGCAGGCAAATTTTCAAAAATACTTTTAACGTGTATCAAAACGTACTCTATATTATACTATTATGCTGGATTATTTTTTTTTTTGATAAAACTATAGGTGAAATTTTTAAATGGAAAGAAAGTCAATTGGTATACAATCAAGACTTTATTGGTTTAGGATTTCGTAGGATTTTAAAAGACTTTTTTTTAGTAAAAAAGTCCATTAATATTCAATCAAGACTTGCCACTTAAAAACAATCCAGTGGTATTCAATCTGATTTTCAAGATTTTTTAAAGAGTCCATTAAAATCCATTGGTATTCATTTGAGATTTTTTACAACTTAAAAATAATTCATTAGTATTCAAAAATATAAAGATTTTAAAGGATTGTTGAGTGAGAGAGATTTTGAAGGACTTTCTAGTATTATTTATAAATACCAAATTCATAAACAATCTTATCCAAACCCATCGAATTTTGAAGGATTGTTTGAAGTGACTTGTCAAGTGTTTCAAGAATTTTCAAGTGAGTTTTTTTTTATCTTTTTTTTATGCTCCTTTCTTCTTCATTTTAAGTCTTGTAAAATCTTACAAAATCTTAAAAGTCATGAAAATCCTGCAAAGTCTTTTAAAATCTATAAGATTTTTTTTAACTAAAAAAATATTTTAAAATCTTAATCTAATACACCGTGGTTAATTTCATTTTTGGACACCTTAAAATAATCTGGGACAATCAGTTTTTTTCTTTCTTCAAAAAAAGAGAAAGGCCCATCAACATTGCGCCCTAATAAATTGGGTGTTTGAGAAGCGGCTAGGGTTTTACAATCTCTCTCTTAGTCACTTACTCTGTTCTGTTTGTCACTGCCACAGTAAGATGGAGGAGTTGTTGTTGATTCAATAGGATTGGAATTGAGATTGAGTGAAATAAGACATAAATTGGGGTTTGGGATTGGCGAGGAAACAAAGCACAATGGCAACCATGAACCCTTTTGATTTGTTGGGAGATGATGCAGAGGACCCTTCTCAAAGAATTGCTGCCGAACAGCTTAAGGTTGTCACTGCTGCTCCTAAGACTCTGCCCAACAAACCCGCTCAGCTTCCTACCAAGCCACTCCCTCCCTCTCAGGCTGGTATATATTTCTGCACTCCTTCTATTTTGCATGCCTCTTTTTCTATTCTATTCTTTATTTTGTTTTAGGGTTTAGATAATGTGGAAGATTGATAAACGGTTGTTTTATTCACAATACAAGTTAATGTCTGGGAAATGGGTTGAAGATTCTGTTCAAACACACACTTAATAAGTAATGTAGCTTGTGTTATGAATCTTTTTCTTGTTTATAATGCTGATTGTTGAATACTAACCAAGGAAATGTCACTCAAATCAGAGAGATTACTTAAAGTGGAAAAACATGGTTTCTTTGTGAATTTGTTTCCTTCAGTTAAACTTATTTTATTTGTTTATTATTAATTAACTTTTCTATTGTTGTAATAGTGAGGGATGCGAGAAATGGAACTTCACGCGGAGGTCGTGGAGGGGGACGGGGAACTGGACGTGGCCGTGGTCGTGGTGGTTTCAACCGTGACTTCTCCAATGATGAGAATTCATTTGCTGCCCCTCCTGGTCAAGGTGCCCTTGAAGGAGAGGGTGGAAAGCCCTCAGAAAGGCCTGGTTATGGTGGACCTCGTGGGCCTTACCGTGGAGGTCGTGGTGGGCGTGGAGGTTTCAGTAATGGAGAAGCTGGTGAAGATGGCCGTACCCGGAGGCCATTTGAACGCCGCAGTGGGACTGGACATGGGTAAATGCTATTTCTGTAACTAGTTTCTGGGTTGTTAAACTGACTTTTGGTTCTTCAACTGATATAGCCTGTTCTATTTGCAGAAATGAATTCAAACGTGAAGGTGCTGGGAGAGGGAACTGGGGAGTACAAACTGATGAATTTTCCCAGTAAGCACTTTCGTGAACCAGGACTTTTGCGAACCAGCACTTTCATACTTCTGTTGACAACCCCCTTGAGCTTGGTTTCTGTTTTATGCTTTTTTCATGAACTTTTATTGTTGCATTTTTTTTCTTTTCCTCTTGAATTTTACTTAGGGAGACTGAGGAAGTGAATGAACCTGCTAAGAATTTTGGTGATGAAAAGCCTTCAGGTGAGGATGATGTTGCCGCAGATGGAAACAAGGAGAATCCTGCTAATGAGGCTGAAGAAAAAGAGCCAGAGGATAAGGTGATTGTCCAAGTTTATTTCAAGTGTTTTGATTTTCTATTTTATCTGCTTCTGTATATTGTGAATGTTTTCTTTTAAGATCATCAGTAGACAAGCAGAAGATTTTTGAATTTGTCGCAAATAACTGGCATACTATGAATTTGTCACTCTGCATGTTATCATACATTTAAAGTGATTGCAGTTATGGGGAGGTATTAGTGTGTATTTATACTTCTTCCATTTCTTAACATATGCCTTTTATTTCCTGTTGACAGGAGATGACTCTGGAGGAATATGAAAAAGTACTGGAAGAGAGAAGGAAGGCTTTGCAAGCGGTTAAGACTGAGGAGAGAAAGGTGGATACTAAAGTTTTTGAATCCATGCAGCAGCTGTCAAACAAGAAAGACAATGATGATATCTTTATTAAGCTGGTGAGGCTTGTGGCTCTATGTTTCCATTCTAGTTTGTAGTTTTTAAATTTTATATTGTTATTATTAATACCTGATGACATTCTTGACTCTTGGAATATTTTTCATTTGAAGGGATCTGATAAGGATAAGCGCAAAGAGACTCTTGAGAAGGAAGAGAAATCCAAGAAGGTGTGAATTTGTTGCTTTTGTCTATCTATGACTACTTTTGCATTCAGTTAATAATTCCATTATGGCTGATCATTTAATTAACAATTCCAATCATTACTGAAATTGTTATTTATGGAAAACGCCTGTAGTTAACTCGTTATCCATTTGATTTATTTCTTTAATTTATTGTATGGTTACGGGTGGAAACTGAAGTTGTCATTGGTCCCCAAAAACTCCAATTCTACTATTCTGTTTCTTTTGTTTTTGCTTCCTTTCTATCTTTGTATTAGTTTGTAATATTGGCAGCCTTACATGTGAATGTGATATATTTCTTCTTTACTTTAGATTTTTAATCTTATCATGCACATGGCCATGATTTTTAGTTCTTTGACATCTAATAGATTTTGCTGACTTTTTCCCGTTTTGTTAATTGGGTTTCATGTTGTTACTTGTTAGTCTGTCAGCATCAACGAGTTTCTGAAGCCCCCAGAGGGTGAAAGTTACTATAACCCAGGTGGGCGGGGACGAGGTCGTGGTAGAGGGCGTGGGGCTAGGGGGGGTTATGGTGGCTATGCAACTGCGAACATTTCTGCTCCGTCAATTGAAGATCCTGGGCAATTCCCTACTTTGGGTGTCAAGTGAGAATTTTCCAGTATTGTGCTAACATTTTTATGTACCTTGTCTCAATTTTGGTTCTCTGCTTTGAAGCAGGAAAAAGAACTATGTCAATTGGATTTCCTGTATCGGCAGGGTTATTTTAATTTAAAGCCTTAAAATGTAAATTTAGATTGTTTGTTTGTGACCCACTTACACACGCTTCTCCAATTGTTATGTTTTACTTCTAGTGTCAATTTGCGGCATAGACAGACGAGGCAGACCCTTTCCCCACTTTTTTAGATTGAACATAGTTTTTCTTGAAAATTTGTGGTTCATATATTTTTGGCTAAATTGATATTCTATAATATCTAATATGTAATTTTGATCTTTGAATTTTTAAATCTGTAGTTTTAGTCCTCCAATTATATAAATTATGTAATTTTGATCCTATTGTTAAATGTTTATATGTTTAAAATTGCAATTTTGATCATGATTTAATGTTGATTAAATTATGACAAATAATATTTAGGTTAGATTGTGCTTTCGATCCTTATTTAATCCATTGTCATCTATTTTACAACTTTTTATTTTTGGGTAAAAGTAAGGATTAAAAGCTTATTTATTCTGAATGTAGTTAAATATTAATTATTACATTATTTATTTAATGTCAAGTTATGATTAACATTACAATTATTGGATTAAAATTGTAGATTGTGGATTGGAGATATGTAAGATTTGAGAACTAAAATTATATATTTAAATATTGGAGGACTAAAATTATGGATCAGATATTATTGGGTATAAAAGGACAATTTAACAAATATTCTTTATCCCTGCCAAGAAGGCAAGAACATCGGAACCTAAGCCAAAAATATCATCGACAGCTTCATCTATTTATTGTAAGTATTGAAAATTTGTCAGTCAAGTTCTTACGTTGATATATTATCTTATGTTGAGGGAATAGTTTGAAAGTTATTTTAATACTTGAAGAATCATGTAATATGATTTGTAATATTTTTGGAATTCATACTTTCGAGCTAAATTGATGTGTTATTTGTTTTTATGACCCTTCTGAGGAAATTTGGAGCATATGTCACAGCAGTGACAATCTAGATCAGAGATAGATTTTACGAGGACACCAATTTTTTGGACGACGTCAAAGTTTGTTAAATGTACATTTAAGTCAGCAAAGGCTATCGATTTCAGCTTCCCAGTGCCTTCGGGATAAGCCGGTAGTTTGAATGGAGTAAAGATAAATCTTTTTTACTTTGAGAAAAACTTTTAAAATGAGAGAAATAAACAACAAATTATCATGAATTGTTTTTAATTTATTAAAATAATTTGTTACAATCGTAATTTAGAAGTTTTTTTTTCCACCCCTTTTCTTTTCAAAAAGATATAAATTAGTGCATAGCAGGCAAAGTGCTAAATTCCCCAAAATATGAAGTTGGTAAGCGATATATTCTCGTACTATAAAACATATTGTTTAATTGTAAGTTACAACAAAGTAACATGTTTGATCTGGGTAATGTATTTGGGTCAACCTATATATATTGTATGAGGTTGTTCAAATTTAACTTAAATTTCCATGGTTTTAGAATTTGATTATTATCCTTGACAGAGTAAAAACCTAGCTTAAATACTACTAGATTTAGTCTAGTAATTGGGAAGGAGTTGAAAGTAGTTATAAGCATGAAAACTTAGGTTTGATTCTATTGCCAACATGTATAATATTTTCTATATAAAAAATGAAATAAACCTAACTTAAATTCTACGGTGAAGGTCAAGTACGCTTGACATTAATGCATGCATCCAGTACCGATCTAAACGGCACCACTGAATTTGTGGTCACATTTCAAAGTGATTTTAGCTTGACTTGCAAAAGTTAGTCGAGTGAGTATTCTGAATAAACTTACATCAATTCAATTACAGTTGTCTCACTTTTAACAATTATTCTTGAGAAGTTCACTACTAACAAGTCTGCGACGCGCTTTAGATTTCAAAAATAAAATTTAAAGAATCACTTGTAGCCTGCGTTGCATGAATCTATGGCTTGTAACTACTTAACTTTATTTCAGTTTGATCAACTGCAACGAAGTATATAAATAGAACCATTTCTTCAAATTCCAATTCCAATACATGCCAAGCAAAGATGATTGTTACTATTCTTATTTGTGCCACCGTTATCCTTCTCCCCTTGGTGCAAGTGCCATACGTCTCTGCTCAGACTCGGAATAATGTTAGCGTTGGTGAGACACTTGTTGCAGGTAACGTTGGTGCGCAATGGCTTTCTTCATCAAAGGAGATTGCATTTGGATTTCATCAGCTTGAGAATGACCTTTTCTTGCTTGCCATATGGTACCAAAAAATACCAAACGATAATTTGATTTGGTATGCAAATGGAGACAACCCGGCTCCTAAAGGATCAAAACTTGAGCTAAATGAATACAGCGGACTAATGCTGAATAGTCCTCAAGGTGTTGAGCTATGGACATCACAAACCATATCAGGTACAATTTCCTATGGACTAATAAATGACACAGGCAACTTCCAGCTTCTGGATAAGAATTCGCAGGTGTTGTGGGAAAGTTTCAGTAATCCAACTGATACATTGGTGCCAACTCAAATCATGGAGGTAAAAGGCACGCTTTCATCTCGGCAGAAAGAGACCAATTTCTCACAAGGAAGGTTCCGATTTCGCTTGCTTTTGAGTGGTAATGCTGTGCTTAATCCTGTTAATTTGCTTACCAAATATCCCTATGATGCTTATTACATCAGTTACACTTATGATAAGACCAACACAACGAACTCCGGTTACCGTGTGATTTTTGATAATTCGGGACTGTATATATTGAAGAGGAACGATAAGAGGGTTAATATTACAAATTCAAAAGACGTGCTCTCAACTGATTCCTATTATTACAGAGCAACCATCAATTTTGATGGAGTTTTCACCATATCCCGTTACCCAAAAAATCCAGGTCCAAATCCAGGCTGGACAGTTATTAAGACATTGCCAAACAACATTTGCACAGATTTGGCAGGACCAAAGGGTAGTGGTGTCTGTGGATTCAATAGTATCTGCACTCTTGATACTGATCAAAGACCAAAGTGCAAGTGCCCAGAAGGTTATTCTCTTCTTGATTCAACCGATGAGTATGGCAGCTGCAAAACAAATTTGGAACTCCGTTGTGAAGGAAGTGGACAAAGCTCTCAAGGAGATTTCTACTACATGGAGGAAATGCCAAATACTGATTGGCCTCTATCAGTTTATGAAATGTATAGACCTTACAATTCAGAGGATTGCAAGACTTCTTGCTTGCAAGACTGCTTATGCGCTGTTTCTGTTTATAGAAATGGTAGCTGCTGGAAGAAGAAGCTGCCTCTCTCAAATGGAAGACGGGATAAATCAGTAGGGGGATCTGCTTTTATTAAGTTGATGAAAAATGATACTTTGTCGGCAAGTCCTTCTAAGCCATTCCTAGAAGAGAACAAAAAAGGAAAAGATCAAGATACTTTGATAACTGTGATATCAGTCCTTCTAGGAGGTTCTGTCTTTGTGAATCTCATGCTGGTCAGTGCAGTATGTATCGGTTTCTACTTCAACAACAACAGAAGAAGTTCTATCAATAAAACTGTTGCAGAGAGCAATTTGCGCAGTTTCACCTTTGGAGAGCTTGTGCAAGCAACAAATAACTTCAAAGAAGAATTGGGAAGGGGGTCTTGTGGCATTGTCTTTAAAGGAACAACAGATTTGGTTACTATTGCAGTAAAGAAATTGGACAAGATGCTCAAAGACAACGATAAGGAATTCAAAACAGAAGTGAATGTGATTGGCCAAACTCATCACAAAAACTTGGTTCGCCTACTTGGATATTGTGATGAGGGAGAACACCGCATTCTGGTGTATGAGTTCATGAGCAATGGCAGTTTAGCAAACTTCATCTTCGGAGATTTCAAACCAAAATGGTACCAAAGAGTCCAGATTGCCGTTGGGATTGCAAGAGGGTTGGTTTACTTGCACGAGGAATGCTGCACCCAGATCATACATTGTGACATAAAGCCACAAAATATACTTCTTGATGAGCTTTACAACGCAAGAATATCAGATTTTGGGTTGTCAAAGCTACTAAGGATTAATCAAAGCCGCACAGAAACTGGCATTCGAGGAACAAGAGGGTATGTTGCACCAGAATGGTTCAGGAGTGCACCAATCACTGCCAAGGTTGATGTTTACAGTTTTGGAGTGCTGCTTGTGGAGATCATTTGCTGCAGGAGAAATGTAGAAGGTGACATTGGCAATGATGAGAAGGCAATTTTAACTGATTGGGTTTATGATTGCTACAAGGATGGAAGAGTTGCCGTACTGGTTGAAAATGATGATGAGGCTATCAATGACATAAATATGCTCGAAAGGTTTGTGAAGGCAGCTATTTGGTGCCTTCAAGAGGATCCCTCTCTAAGGCCAACAATGAAGAAGGTGATGCTGATGTTGGAAGGAATAGCTCCAGTCACAGTTCCACCAAGCCCCTGTCCTTATGCTTCTGTGTCTGTTAGTTGCGGTTGAAATTAGTTTCGTTTCATGTCTTGATTATGTTACGTCGTTAATTTTGTGTTTGCTTTGTTTCTTATTCATTTCAATCCCCTTTGTCCATGCGGCTGAGTGGCAGCTCATGGATTAAAAAGTGTAACAAAAGTAAGCACATTTTATTGTTCTTGTGTGGAATAAAAGGTTCAAACATCTCATCAAATGTCTGATTCTTTAAATGCCATAAATCTTCTATAATTGGGTTGCATCCCTCATCATTTGTGCTTTAATTTGATTCAAAGTATTTTCTCCTTTATTTCTGCTGGTAGAGTATTGGTCTGGTAATTAAGTTGCTGACAAATTAGCCAGTTTTGATTTGTCTCTAAGTGAGAATTTAAGAACTTTTAATATTGTTATGCCTTTCTTTACTTTGATCGCAAATGCTGATGTAGCTTTTATTTCTTACTCTCGTGGTTTTATTATTCATTTTAATCCCCTTTCTCCATGCGGCTGGTTGGCTGCTGATGGATTATAAAGTGTAATAATTAAAAGTAAGCACATTGGGTTGTTCTTGCGTGGAATAGAGGGTTCAAGCATCTCATTTGAGTCCGATTCTTTAAGTGCTATAATTCTTCTATAATTGAGTTGCACCTCTCATCATCTGTGCTTTAACTTGGTTCAAAGTATTCTCTCCATTATTTCTGCTAGTAGACTACTAGTTTGGTAATTAACTTGCCGACAAGTTAGTCGATTTTAATTTGTCTTTTAGAGAGAATTTAAGAATTTTTAATGTTGTTATGTTTTTCTTTGTTTTGATTGCAAACATTGATATAAATTCTATATTCTCTATGCTTCGATAATTATTCATTCATAAGAAATAAGCTAAAAATATTTTTTTTACAGCAAAAATAATTTGTTTGTTCAAAAGTGAAATCTTAATAAAAGTATTCATTGATTGATGCCTTCTTATTGCAAGGAATAATAACCTACTAATTCTAAATATAATAAAATATTAATTATTATATTATTTATTTAATGTGTGGTTATGGTTAACATTTATAACTTATTTTATAATATAAAAACTGAAAAACATAAACATTTATTATTCTCTAGTCATGTCAACATTAACTTTCTCTATTAAAAGTCACTTTATCTTAAGCACTCTATAAAATTCACATCTACATTTGAATTTTTAAGCCTATTAATTAATTACTTAAAAATATTTCTAAATGAATGATATTAATTAATATTAATTTTTTCAGTTTCTACTCCTTATAACTAACTACATTTCTATCACAATAAAAAATAAATTGGAAACTATACAAAATCCACCTCTTACGTTGTTCATTTAGACTTAAATTTTGTTCTCTCATCTTCTAAATCCTCTAAAATGAATTTTCAATATTTCTTTTTTACTTTTATTTAAATATACATTTTGGTTCCTATTTTGATCTCTAAATCTTTTGTAGAAATGGACTTTCTTTACTACAATTCTTTTAGTTCTCAAAATAGTTTATTGGGTTTGTAAGATTTTATTATAAATTTCATTTTTTCCTGTCCTAAATATTCTAAATTGTAATTCTTCTTTGATATTAAAATTATCATTAGAAGTCCTAATTAGTACTTTTTTTTAATCTTATTTCACTTATATAATTTTACTGATATTTATCTTATTTTTCTAACAACCGTCACATTAATTTCTTAAATTTTGTGAGATTGTCTTATCGTAGGAGTCATGATTGTTGAGATCGTGAAATTTAAAGTTTCAAAACAATCTCTTTTTAAGAGATATTTTTCTATCCTTCATAATTGTTTCCCTTCCAACTTGTGGTCTTTGGTTTCATGGGTTCTATGAGTTTATCTACTCAACACTTTCTTTTTTCTCTCTTCGTTTTCTTCTACTTTTGACATATTATTCTTCTCTTAAAAAATAAAAATTTATGCATAGAATTTTTTTTCTCTGTATTTTTTAAGGTAATAAAAAATAAAAGAGAATAAAAAGAAACATAACATTATCTTTTTTAAGAGGGACATAGGTCACAAGAACTTAATAAAAATCACAAAGTTAAAATTTGAAGTTATTTATAATTTTTTGTATGTTATTTCTATTAGCATGTGATACATTAAATTACGAATATGTTATGTATATTGTGTCTTAATAACTACATCTTCAAATTAATTATAATATAATTCAAATATTATTATAAAACTTATTATTTTTCCTCACTAATATGAGCCATATTGTCTAAAAAAATTATTAAATTGAATTTTTCTTATTACTGCACTTATAAAAATTATCTGTTTTCAAATTTATATGTAACACCTAGTTCACCAATTCAAATTTCATATAGAAAGTTGGATTTTTATATTTCATTCCAGAAGTGTTTTTTTAATAATATTTGCATACTATTTATAATTTTTCAAACAACGGACATTCAAATCAAACTAAATCTATTGATTAGAAATTAATTATTAATATATAAATGTAGATTTAAACTATAACATTACCATAATTAATACACATGGCTCTTAAATAAAAATAAATAATTTTATCATGTCTTTCAATTACAAATTAATCCATATAATGTAACTGCCGATTCAAATTGTAACATTATCGACTATCTCTTAATTAAAAATTAAATTTAACATATAAATTCTGAATAAATGTAATTTAATATTGTACTGATTACAAATGTAATAGCATTATTTTTTATAAAATTTTAAATTATTAGTTATTTAATAAAAAATAATATAAATTTTAATTTCATTATCATTATATGATCCCCGATAAATATATATATATATATATATAGAAACAAATTGATTTAACTTATAAAAAAAAAACAGTGATTTCGATGGTAACATGGCAAAAACAATTCACTTTGGTCATATCTTTTAAAATCACCTCATTGTAGAAATTTGTTTTTAACAGGTCAAGGAGAAAATCTAAAGGGAAATGATACTTGTAAAAGGAAGTGTATAACAAATGTTACAACTAAGGGAGAAGTTTGAAATGTAATAAATGATGGATGAAGAGAGATAAATACAAAAAAATTATATTATATAAATTGTTGTTAGAATGATTATATGTTTATTATCCCATAAACCTAAATGCAATTTCTTATTGTGTAATTTTCCATATAGAATGAAGTTTCACTTTGGTAATCTGCATAAATCTTCTATTAAGTAAAACTTTAATTTTGATTAAAAAATATATGGAAAATACAAAAGGTATTCTTATATATATATATATAAAGTAAATTATACTTTTAAAATACACCTAAATTTAAAATATCTATATAATTCACCAATATACTTTAATTTCAAATAACTTTTCTATTATATAATTTGATGATATAACATCATTACAAATATTAAAAATGATCTATTTTTAATAGTAAATTATTATTTATTTTATTTCATTTTATAAACTCTCAATCATTTTAAACTCACATGATACATTGGTGCCAATAACTCTATTCTTACATTAAAGTTCTCTGAATGTTTTATACTGCTCTCTCAATGTTCATACATTAAAGTTCAAATGTAAATACAAACTCTATTAATTCTACCTTGTCATTTTTCACAAAAGAATTCAACATATTAAAATGACATTAATTTTTCAAATACCTAGATATATATCGTGATATTTAGTTTCTCAAAATTTAAATAATTTTACCATAAATTTTTTTTACAACATAGAATGATCAAAATGTAATCTTAAAATATATA